TCATCAGCTATCCAGTACATGGAGGATTTAGATGATGTTCTCAGGATTTTTAAGCTAAGAGGAGATTCGATAATTTTTCAAAATTTCATCCGAAGGTTAATTTGTATATCCTAAATTTTTTGTGGAAACAGAAAAAAGGAAGGGGAAAGAGAATGTACCTTGGCTTGGAGCACGGGAGGCAATCGTGGAAAGAAGAGGTAGAAGGAATAAAAAAGATATACTTGAATGTGGTGTTCATATATCGGACCAAAAACCTGAAAATACTAAAAGACATCAAAAGCTACATGTTCTCGACTAAAAGACTCGATAACATAAAAAAAAAACCCCTATAAAATGTGTTTAAAATATCACTTAACATATACCAACTAGAGATAATATTGGTTATATTTTATCAGAGCCGAGCACCGGCCTTGAATACAAGCAAGGCAAGGTACAGCTTGCTGCCGCTCATTGTTGATTTATTAATTCGGGCGTCATTTTCTAGAAAGAATCATTGATTTTGTTAGTAAATGTGCGTTGTATGATAACAAGAGGTCGCAAGGTACACCCTGCAACCACTTTTTTTCTCTTTTTTTTTTATTAGAAGGAACTCCGAATTTTTTTCATAGTTTCATGTTTCTCATCCTGAGGTTAATTTTGCATTTCTTAAGAAATTTAAGAAAACATAAAAAATGAATGTATTTTAGCTTGGAGCACAAGAGGCCGTAGAGAAAAAGTTGGACCAGTGTAATATTTAATATAATTCAATGAGATAATTAAAATAAAAAAAAATAAACTCAATGTGCTCACAAAACGTCATAACTAAACATTTGCAATTTATGAGCTTGCTCTTCAAAATTAGTTAAGGTTATTTATCAAATTTTCGGAAAGTAAATCTATCTAAGCTCACTAACTAGATTGTCAATAAAGCAAAAGGCTGTTTCACAAATTTAGAAGAATTTTAAATATGTTCCGAGTATCAAAACCCTAATGATCAATTCCTGAATCCCTTTTAAGAACCCCTAAACCCCAATAATAAAACTACCCATGCATAACGATTAACGAAAGTACAAAAATGAACGATTATGAATAAATGAGTACTGAAAGCAAGAACAAAGTTTAGATGAAAAAACCAATTTTTTAAAAAAAAAACGTAATGAGAAGCATAGAAGAAAATATCTAATGCAAATCTAAAGTCGTAAACCTCTCTCGTGCGTGAGATTAACAATTGTAAGAAGATAAGAGGAGAGGGAGCTGTTTGTTGAGTGGTTATTTTGCCCACATATGTTCAACAATCCGTAGCTCCCTTTATTGTTCGATATATAGTATATTTGTAGATTACTTGTATCTTCTCCTAAGTTTATATTTAGGGTTATATTTTTTTTTGATAACTCAGGTGATTCTAAAAGCTTTCTAGCTGCCCCGATTCAATATATTTGAGAGCCTTAGGGCAAAAAAAATTTTTTTGACCTATTATTATATACAAAGAGAAAATTTACTTAATTTTTAAAATTTTTGCGGAGTTTTATAGTAAAAATTGTTATTTTAAAAATTTTGGGCCTTTTAATACATTTTCTTATAAATAATTAGGCCTCTTAAAATATAATTCTCATATTAATAATATTTTAAAAAAATATTTGGACCTTTTTTATATATAAATTTTTTTATAAAAAAACAGCCCCGGACCGTCGCACCTCCGCCCTACCCATCTGAGCCGGGACTGCTTTCTAGGTCCAAAGACTAATCCTGGGGTCCGGGAAAACCATGTTAAATTATTTGAACCCCGGTGGCTAATGCTACTCGAACCCAGATGGCGGGAATTACCTCCCTTTACCACTGGACCAAGGCTACTTGGTTTATTTAGGGTTATATTATCGAGTACTGGGTTGATTTGAACCGCCACTTGGCAAGCCCAATGAAGTGTTAATGATTCGTAGGCTTGGTTCCACTAGCTAGTTTAAGACTCGCTACCGAAGCAGGTATACCAGCAAAGTTTGGTGGCCTGAGCACTTACGTACAATCTTGGAAAATATATGGGTCAAGGATCATGCATGTCCTTTCACACATACAATGTGTGCATGTAAGCCTTTGGTTTTCCTTTCACAAGCGGAAGGGGCACCTTTTGGGAGATTTTGCAATGGGAACGGAAAAAGATTTTGAATGGTTATTTTGCTAACATATCGTGAACTGATCAATCATCAATAGCTTAACAACAGCTAGTATATATTTGTGAGTAATATTTAGTAAAGAACTTTATAGTCTAGTAACCGGAGGTATAAAAATAATTAAGTCTAACAACCAATGAACAGCTAATCCGTAAGATTTAATGCATTGTATCTTAACTCAAACTTAGACACAAGAATACATTTCCGAGCTGTGTTTCTTTGTTTTTATAATGGACAATGATTTTTGATTTATTAAATTCTGTGTATGTAAGGGTGATCTTAAGACAAGCAAACGAGTATGAATCTCATCTTGTCGGAATCTCAAATTATTCCGTGCCGTCCTTTGGTCTTTTACTATCTCTTCGTTTATTGTTTCTTATTATAGGAATTTTTGAATCAAGCTGATTAGACAACGACCACATTAGCATACAACATGTTCTAGTCACGAGAAAATTGTTGTTTAGACTAAAAAGTAGCTCTTCTATATTGTTTAGTATCCTCTTTACGCATTTATTTCTTTTTTGGTTAATTTTATTCAATTTCTAGTTAGAATAATTTAAAAATATTGTAGTTAGTAAAAATGTTGAGTTGTGAAGTCAAAATGTTTTGGACTCGCTGTGATCCGACATTCGGACATGCCGCTAATCGTGAATCTTTTTCTTACTGGATGGATGGACACTCCAAACTCCAACGCAAGATCAATCATGTTTTGCGGTAAGAAATTAACATCTGGACTATAGTATTTCATTGACTATTTATTTTCCTAAAAGTTAGAAAACTAACAAAACAAGTTCATTGTCACAAGACATTTTCTACATAACGTGCATTGGGGGCGATCCATATATTATTTCTTTACTCTCTTTGTGATTTTGCGTACACAAAAATGTTTAACGTTCATTGAAAAACATGAATCTTCTATATAGAATATGCTAACACTAATGTACTCGTCATGCAATGGAGTGGCATAACCTCTTTGACTCTGTCTAAACTTGGCTTTTATTGACCCCACAAGTTGACTAATCGTATTTGATCATGCATGGTAGGTTAAGAACATTAGGACTTGTTCAATATACAATAAGAATAAAATCCCTGATTTTATAATCAGCCGTCAAATATTTTTATTCCTTCTCAAAGTTATTCTCCTCAAACCTCTAATATAAGCTAGCACGCTGCTATACACAAATATAGAAACGCACACTATGGAGAATGAAGCATTCGGTATGGAGAATGAAGCTTTTGTAGATGGTGAATTGGAGTCTCTTTTGGGGATGTTCAATTTTGATCAATGTTCTTCTAACGAATCGAGCTTTTGCAATGCTCCTAATGAGTTTGATGTTGTCTCTTCTTCTGATGATTTCTTCCCATTTAGTAAAATTCTGCAAGGGAACTATGCGGCCGTTCTTGACGGTTCCAATCACCAAACGAATCTTTATGATGACTCAAGACAAGTAAGTTCAAGTCAAAAATGTTAATTTTCCTATATGTTTCTTTTGCAATGAGCTAATGATAACGGTTAACGCAAAGCAGGAGCTGGTGAAACCAAGGAAGAAGCAAAAGATAAGTTCAGAAAGCAATTTGGTCACCGAGCCTAAGACTGCTTGGAGAGATGGTCAGAGCCTAAGCAATTATAATAGTTCAGATGATGAGAATGCTTTAGGTTTAGTGTCTAATACATCAAAAAGCCTAAAACGCAAAGCAAAATCCAACAAAGGGATAGCTTCCGATCCTCAAAGCCTATATGCTCGGGTATTCAGGAAACTAAACTAATCTTTTGGTTGCTGATTTTTAGTTGTTAGGTTTTATGGAATAATAATGTTGATGAATGTTTCAGAAACGAAGAGAAAGGATAAACGATAGGCTAAAGACATTGCAGAGCCTAGTTCCTAATGGGACAAAGGTCGATATAAGCACAATGCTGGAAGATGCCGTCCATTACGTGAAGTTCTTGCAGCTGCAAATCAAGGTAACGGCTTTTGTCTTGTTGGAGTCTTGATCGTATCTTGTACTGCAAGAAACCATGTAAAATCTTTCCTAAACCGTTTTTGGAAATTTTGCAATGTAGCTCTTGAGTTCAGATGATCTATGGATGTATGCACTTCTTGCTCACAATGGCCTTAATATGGGACTACATCACAATATTTTGTCTCGGCTTATGTAAGACAATATCATTTGGTCTAACATACTGACTTGTGTTTGTTTGTCTTGTTCAGCCCAGCTAGTTCTCGAGAAATCTGTGGCGAATTTTTTTTTTTTTTTTTTTTTTTTTTTTTTTTTCTTTT